ATTTAAGCGTTGTATTATTTTTGATTGCCACTGTATATAAAAACTTATATTTTATAATTTATAATTTATAATAATCTATATATATTTAGAATTAAAAATTAATAATCTATAATCAAAATTTTTAAACTTAGTGAAAATTATAAAAATCTTATTTTCTAATAAATATATTAATATAATATCTTTTATTATTATTATTTATTTTTTTTCTTTGTTATTATTTTTTTTATTAAAGAATTGATTATATTATATATCACAAAAAACAAATCTGTGTGATTTATGTTTGGAATTTAACTAAGATTCTGATATTATTCTTCACAAAATTTAATATTTTGATAATTTAATATTCTGATAATTTAATATTCTGAAATTTAATATCCTGATAATCTAATATTCTGATAGTTTAACTTTCTAATAATTTAACAGTCTAATAAATCTAAGCTTTTTAACTAATTCAAATAAAAATTGAATTATCAGAAAGTTAGGTTATCAAGATATTAAATTATTAGAATACTAAATTTTGAAAATTTGGATTTTTGGAGAAGTTAATTATGAGATGTTAAACTATCTAAATGTTAGATTAGATTATTAGAAAGTTGAATTGGCAGGATGTTGAAATTTTGAAAAGATTAAATACTAACGGGATTGTGTTTGAGACATATAATGATAATAATAATGATAATGGATGGTAATGATAGATAATGGATGGTGATGATGATAATGATGATGTAGTAATGATGGTAGTGATGGTGATGGTGATGATGAGGATGATGGTGATGATGGTGATGGTAATGATAGTAGTGACGGTGATGGTGATAGTGATAGTGATATAATAATAGCAAATATATAAAAAATCCTGTAAGAATATTCGCTAACGCTAATGGTAAATAAAACATTTGATATATAGTGGCTCACTTATGAAAACGGACATGAAAAAAGTTTCACGAAAAAAATCTTAACACTTCAATTAAATATACCTGGCTTTTATACTTATGTTAAGGTTAATAACCTAGAGAATATCTAATAAATATATCATTATTCCCATTTTACGAATGTTTTTAATTAATGAAATTTTAACTTTAAATGGTCTGTTTATCAGGAAGGATTGAAAAGAATTTGCCTAATAAAAAATGTTCTAAATATCACTGAAAATTGGTTTGTAGGTCAATTCTTCCTGATAACAAACCTGTTTGAAGCTAAAATACCATTAATTAAAAATATTCGTATAGACAAGACACTTAATTTTCCTAAAATGGCAATTATGAGTCATTCTTTAATATTCTCTAAGATTATTAGCTTTAAAATGGGTGTAAAAACCAGGTGTATTTAATCGATATTGGAAACGATAGAATTCTTTTCGTACAATTTTCACGTCCGTTTTCATAAGTGGGCCACTGTATAATATATAAAATATCTCATTTATTAGCCAGCTTGTAACTGGTTCATAATAAATTATAATATTAATTTAAATATTAACATGTATGTTGTATTGTATTGGATAACAATGCTAAATATATACTCGAGAACCAATTAACTGTTAAATTAATATTAAAAATTCTAACAAAAAATATTATATAGAAATAAAAAAATTTAGGAAAGTTGTATAAAGCAAAATAATGTAATTGCTACTACGAAATATATGTGATATACTCCAGATGTGTTCTATTTTTCAAGTTGAAATAAATATAAATCCATCCGAGTTAGTTTCCACATTTTTCACAAAAGGAAACGCATCAAATATGGTTTTGTCGTCGTTATCCAAGAAACATTCTGCGACCGCGAATGACTTTATATCTGTACAATTGCTGAATCCATCCCATTTACGACAGCCACTAAAGGTACATTTTTGGAAAGATAATGTGGTCAGAGTTGAGCTGTGATAGCTTAATGCTTCCATCACAGGATCGATGTGACTTAGACAATCGGCTAACTCAAACTCGGTAATGTGTCTTTGATTGCGGATGAGTGATGCTAAATTATTGCATGTAATTTCACTGGTTCTGTGTGAGTCAGTTGGAGCGTGAACAATAGAAATTTTTAAGACTTGCTACAGAATTCAAGGTGAAATAAAGCATTGAAATTATTAGATTTGAAATTCAAAGTTTACCAAAGAAAATCGAGAAAAGTTATATACCAAATTTCGACAATTGTTTGCCAAAGTTTCAAAAAACCTTGCTTTTTTACCCCATCCTCCAATCTGAAGGAATTTCACCGACTTAACCAATTCCGCGATTTCCGGTTCCTCCAATACAGGATACGTTACCATCCAATTTTTTCTTCGTTCATAAGTAGCTGACATGTGCGTTAACACCTTATCGCTCTTGCAAAATAATTTCAAAATAGCTTTCA